TGATGAGATGCTTTAATATAAGAGAAAGATTGATTCGAAAATATTATTGTATGACGTATGTAGTAGCGTGTGATGTATGATGTTTATTACCACATCAATATCGCTCACACGTTGCATAGAATCCGATTTTCAGTTTAGGATCCCTTAATCTTAATTCTTTTATACGATTCTGTATAGTTATTTACCTGAAGCAGAAATTCTCTGCCGCGTACTGCTCACAGGTGAGCGAGTTTAGTGAAAAGTTTAGTTTAAATGTACTAATTAAATATAAATAGTGAAAAGTTTAGTTTAAATGTACTAATTAAATATAAATTATTCATATATTTTTATTCTTTTAATTATATTTGGCCGTTTTTTTCTCCAATTAAAAATACTAATGGTTACTGTTTCATTCAGCTGATTTTATCAATCAAATAGAAAAAATGAATTTTTTAAAAATTATTTCCTTATTTATTAAATCTGCACTATTTCTTGCAACTAAAGTAAAATAGTCACTTTTAATGTAATTTTGCATTCGGATTAAATATGCAAAATTACATTAAAAGTGACTATTGTATTTTATTTGCAAGAAATAGTGCAGATTTGAATAAGGAAATAATTTTTTGAAAATTCTTTTTTCTATTTGATTGACAAAATCAAGATTACTACATGATTTTTTAAAATCGCCACATGGCATCAAAAACTAGAAGTTTTAATCTAAATTTTGGTACCCTGCAAGTTATTATTATATTTTGTTGAGTACGATTTTAATTTAACCCAGTCAATTTTTTCCTAAATTATTGATGATACAAAAAAAGAAAAGTGTTGTTTAAATTTTTTTTCCTAGGTGGAGACGTTAAAATGATATGAAGATTATTTCCGCTTTTTTTAAATGGAATTATATAATTTTTTTACGTAATATAATTCCTCTAATTATTCTGCATATAAAAGTATTGAAGTAGAGTTATGGAAAAATCGATAGGATATATTTTATGAGATATTTTATGTCGAAAAACCAGTACTTTACAAGGTATTCATACTTTATGTCGAAATATAGCATGATAAAATATGAAATATCTCATAAAGTATTGATTTTTTAATATTATCTTTATATTTTTATACAGAATAATAAGATGAATCAATTGGTGTAAAAAAAACATAGCTGTTTTACAAAAAAAAATATAAAAATTGTATTTTTTTAAAGCAACTGTGTTTTCTTTACACTAATCGATTCTTATTATTCTATGCATAAAAATATTAAAGTACAATTCAGAAAAACAATAAAAGAATCAATAGTTCACGAGATATTTTATATTTCAGTTACGTGATATTTTATGTTGAAATAATATATATATATATATGTATATATATGTGTGTATAAATTTATACATATGTATAACAATAAGCAAATATGCATATATAACAAATTTGCTTCATTGTTAGTCATATAATTACCGCGTATTATATTGCATATGGACTTTATCTGTAAACGAGTTGGAGAGACTAGAAGGCTCTTCGGATTAACTTGGCTCGCGAAGCGTTTATCGAGGGTCAAGGTCCTTGACCGCCTCATTTTACCTGGCTCCAAGCTCAGGTAGAGCTTGAAACAGGTCGTTTGCTCCATCAAGAAGGACGAAACTTTCTCCTAGCCATGTCTGTGCGAGCCTCCAAAATATTACATGCCTAAATTATACATACCCACAATTATACTATATTCACATTCCTGTTACGGTAATATAAAAATGTGTAATGCAACATTATTTAAAGGGAATAGCTTCTGTTCGAAAAATAAATTACGATAAAAAAAACTGTTGCTCTAACAGTAAGATAATTTACACGCATGATATTACATATTCATCAATGCAATATCACTTGCGTTGATGCAACAAATTATTTCGAAATTATACGTAATGCTTTTTAATAATTATTTATCAAACAAAAACTTTTATGTCTATGAAAAATATTTAAAAATTTCAAAAACACCGATCCGGTTGAATAACTTCGCTTTGTCGATTTTTCTTAAAATTTCGTGATTTATATTGGATTATTTTCTCAACAACAACTTTCATTATCGAAACTTACCACATAGCCGACGTATTCGTACGGAATGGCTTGCGTGTATATACATGCATAAACTTGACGAATTTATTTTTCTTCAACAGTTCCATCCGGAACTGTTGAAGAAAAAGTTTCGTAAGAAGAATGCGCCTGCTGAACGTCGTCATCAATTTATATATATGACTTTAAACAGAATCGTTAATTGTAAATGAATATTGAATATGGAATAAAACTTGACGTATATAATTAAAAAAAAACAATTTTTTCAAATAATAGAAATTTTTAAAAATATTTAGAAGTTTAGTATAGAATAGTATTAAAAATTAATAAATATTTTGATCTTAACTTTTAATTCATTTACATCTAACGCGTTTAATGCATTTCTGTTCAGTTAGATATAGATATTATAAAAGATAAAGCCATTTACCTCTTCTAAGATATAAATTATATATATTTTTTTAATATATAGCATCTGAAAAATTGTATATATACAATATGATAAAGAATTAATAATTCGTCAACAGTATTATAACTTCCTTCTCTTCTTGTCGAAGATCCCTATCTTATTTTTTTGAAACACTTGAAATTTATTTTTAATCTTTTATGTGCTCGTCAAATTACATCATATACGGCTGTCAAAGTTCAGCACCACCGTAAAATAATTACTATTGTGCTTAATTACTTAACGCGTATAATGATTTTCACTGCGATTATTTCTTATACTTACTTTTAATCAAAATCAATCTGTGACTTAGCCTCAAATTTATGATCTGAGATCGTATTATGTTGGGCACGAACTGAATGTCTAAACCCTCTGAGGAGTAAAAGGCGAAAAAAAAGAAAAAAAGACGGGCGGAGAAGGGATCGAGTTCTCATACCGGGGTCGCCTCGGTATGAAAGACTCTTTCTTATTCGTTGCCCCTCGTCTTTTCAGACCCTATATCTTTGCCGAAGTCCTAGAAGCCCTCGAGCGCGGGAACAGCTGCTGCGGCAAATAAACCAATGATCCAAGGATATCGTGGGTCAACCTTCCAGAACCTTCCGCCGCAGAACCTTCCGGACCCACCATTATTTCTCCTGGTCCTGATCGTTGCCTTGCTCTTATTCTCTTGCTGCCCCTTCCCTCCTCCCTCTTCTTGCGAAACATTCTGATCCGTCGCATTCCTGCTAGGTATCCAGCTGTGAGCATTCGCAGACAATATCTGAATCTCAAACGAGGATCCATCGAAAAAATGACCGCATTGAAACGCATAAGCCGATATCTTTCTAACGATGTCATTATTTTTCACCTTGGCATAAATACCGATCTATCCCGAAGTATCTGAAATCTATCGAGATACGGAGATACACTTCCTCTTAAGATACAATTAATCCCAATACCTATTTTAGTCCGCCACTTCAAGACATGTCACGAACTGAACTGTTATCCATTTACTCACAAAAGAATCAAACTTTAGGGATCGTTTTAAAACCTCAAAGATGGCCTCTAATCACAGATAATCCCTTAATCACAAAAAATATATATGCAGAGATACGTATCCTTTGTATGTGGCTATTTAAAGTTAAAAGGGTGAAACAACTTTTTTAAGAGGATGTTAAACTGAAAATCGAATTCCAAGCATCGCTGTTTTACTAATGATTTGTGCATATACATGCGTGCGATATTGATGTAATAGTGTGATGATACAGTGATATGTTTATGTTCCCTATCACCAATATCGCGCGCCTACATATGCATCGTAACAAATTTTTGTGTACTATTTTCTCGAAAATTAGGTATTTAAATTTATTTCTACAAATTCCATATTATTTCTTCATGTAATCTACTAACTATCCTAAGTACGAGTTGTAGAGCTTATACATGATAAACAATTATTGTTAGTATAATATATATAAATTTATAGACAATATACTTTTATAATTATGATATATTTTTTGTATTACTTATTACTTTGAATATATATTGTAAGATACGTGGGTTAAATGCACAAATATCGAGATAAAGGCAGTGATAACTCAGTGGCAGAATGGCTACCTGAGAAGGGAAAAAGTCTTCGATTTTAAATCTTGTCAATTTCCTTTTTTTATATTGTCGCCTACAATATACAAGATACCTCTTAAATAGTGCTCACTAATTATATAGCCTTATTCCTTATAAAAGATCGAGTCGAAAAGTCCTGAATTATTTTTTTCCACAATGCACAATAAAGCAATCATTATACTGCAGTAATTACAAACAGCTTTATTAAGCATTGTAAAAAAAATGTCTAAGACTTTTTGACTCATTTTTTTTATATTGAATAACGCTATATGATTAGTGAGCTATTTAAGAATAATTTAGTTCTACAATGTTCAATGAAGTAGTAATTATTGTGTAGTGATCGCATCAATAACCATTGCAGAAAAAAAAAAGATTTAGAACCTTTCGAGTATTTTTTACAAAGAATAATGCTATATAGTTAATGGGCATTATTTAAGACACACACATACACCAATTTATTAAAATAAGTGTCTATTACTGTAGTACTTTCGTCTGATATATTTTCTAACATCTTTTCTCGTCATCGTATCGTATCTTTTGATAATTCTTGCCCACATATTTTATATATGTGTGATGGAAAATCCATCAATTTTAATTAAAAAGAGAATGATACAAATATGTCGAAATAGTAAAATTTTCTCGTGTAAAATTTAATTCTTGTCGAAAAAATTTATTTTCAAAATATACATCGAGCACGCATGTACTGTTCGTTTATATCTGTCTGGCTTGCAGCAGATGCGTCGCCGAATCAACAAGGATTGATGTATTTTTTTTCCATTACTGTATCTTTCCGCATCGCGATAAGCTGATAAAAACCGGGTAACTCGAATATACTAACAAAGTTGTAAACTGTGATAAAAGTCGAATTATTCTAACGATAGTATTTATATAAACACACAGGCGCGCGCAGAAAGATAGTTCATTTCGAATGAGATAAGGTCTCCCAATCACGCGTATATTCGACGACTTTAAACGTGGGCATTCCCGAAAACAGTGGCGTTTACACAAATATTTTGTCCTTGACCTGCTTCCATATACACGAAGAATTTGTTTTATCGCAGAGTAATAACATTGTAAGAACAAGCATTGCCGTTAGCGTCTGTTCTGTACGAATTTGCTGCGTGCACACTCCTCGAGACCATCCATGGGTTATTCAGGTTATTATTTATATTATTCAGATTTATTACATTACTTGTATATGTATTTCGATCGAGACGTCTCCCGTTGGAGGCATTTTTACACTTGGATAACTTTAACGGTTATTAAATAACCTCTTTGTGCGTATGTCAGAGCGCGAAATGGGCCGACAATCAAAAGTGACCGAAATCAGAAGTGGCCGCGTGTAAAAGCTCGTTGCGTAAACGGGCACGGGCATTGTTCGATCGGGGAACTGATCTTTTTCTTTTTTTGCTTCTCAGGCGGCGTGAAGAGCATGAGCCGGGAGAGTGGTGCCGGAGCCGGCGGCGGGGTCGGTGTTGGCGGTGGCAACAACACGACGTACACACGATCGGCGATAACGCGCGAGCTGGCCCAGGACTTCGCGAGGCCGCCGCGCCTCGACGTGCTCCTCGACATGCCGCCAGCCTCGCGAGAAACGCAAGTCCATCACAGCTGGAACGCCGACGACCGTAGTCTAAATATATTCGTCAAGGTACTGATTAGGAGAAGTATCGATATAGCTCTTAAAAAGGCTCGAAAAATATATATAAGTAAATACACATATATATTTGATACTTCGTAAATATAATTTATCCTCAGGCGGACGTATATTGGACAAATTTCTTAGACAATTCTTAGTCATGAGAGTATTGTAAAATCATATAGATATCACTCTCTCTTAAGTAATCACAAAAGTGAAAATACAGAGGAGCTACAATTTCCCTCCTTTTTCTACTGTATAACTTGTTTGAACTTGCACTATCAAAAAAATTTATGTGATTCTTTCTGATTAATCTATGAATTCATTTACTTTGACGTTTTCAAGTTGCGAGGCGTGTGCTTTAGATTAAAATTTTGAGGAATCAAGTTTCTCACTGTGTATTTTCATTATTTTTCCCAGGAGGACGATAAGCTAACGTTTCATCGACATCCCGTCGCGCAAAGTACGGATTGCATACGAGGGAAGGTGGGGTATACCAAGGGTATGCACGTATGGGAGCTTTATTGGAGCACGAGGCAACGAGGTACGCACGCCGTCGTAGGAGTCGCGACGGCGGATGCGCCTCTACATAGCGTCGGTTATCAGAGTTTGGTAGGGAACAACGAGCTCAGTTGGGGTTGGGACCTTGGTAGAAACAAGCTCTATCACGACTCGAGAAACAACACTGGCGTGACGTATCCAGCTCTCCTCAAGTCCGACGAGACGTTCATTGTTCCTGACAAATTTCTGGGTAAGAAAACTCCTTCGTAATTGCAGTTGCGCGATCGCGCAATTTCTTTGAGAATTTATGAAATTATCCAGCAAGATGTATCGTGCGAAAAAAATCAGACGAATTTTCTTTGCGAGTATCTTGAACTTATCACGCACGCAATTTCTCTCCACAGTTGTCCTCGATATGGACGAAGGTACGTTAGCATTCGTAGTGGATGGCCAGTATCTTGGAGTAGCGTTCAGAGGGCTCAAAGGAAGGAAATTGCATCCTATTGTGTCCGCCGTCTGGGGACATTGCGAGATCACGATGAAATACATCGGCGGACTTGATCGTAAGCGAATAATCATAACAATTCTAAAACTATTTGACACCTATTTATATTACGAAGATGTTTAAAATTTGAATAGACAAATTTTTTCGGTCCATTATTTTAATATTTTTGTAACGTATATTTATTAAATATTAAAACAACGAACTAAAACACATAAGACGTCTGTCAAAATTCATTGCGCATTGCTGCGGTATCCTCGTTAATTAGGCGCTCTCGTCTTCTCCACAGCCGAACCTCTGCCCCTCATGGATCTCTGTCGAAGAGTGATCCGACAGCGAATCGGCAAGAATAGACTAGAAGACAAGATCAACGAGCTGAATCTACCGCAGACGATGAAGACTTATCTTCTATACCGGGACAGAAGGTAACCACTGAGTGAATCTCCTCAAGATGCCACCACGATTATGACTGCGAACATCACCGTGTTAGAACGTTGCCACTACGACGCACAGGCGACCGTCCGCTATCCCCTCTCGCGCCACCAAGGACAGCAACCCCTTAGCCGCGCGTCTCCGTTAATCAAGCGCACGATGTTCAACAGACTGACATGCGTTATGCGACGACGCGTCGAGACACGCCTAGTACCTCGAGAAGGCACGCTGAGAGAGCGACGCCGAAATACCGTATTGATAACGACTCGTGGCATCCTTATCAGGACAAGTCGCGATGATTGCAATCCTCATCGTCGTTATTGCCATCGTCGATAGGTTTAATTCATTAAAGACAAGGTTAAGAGACAAAACTGCAAGAAATGATTTTAACGAGAAAAACATTTTGAAATTAGTTATTTTTAATGTTGTCTTATATTTCTTATAGGTATATAGGTTGTCTCAGCCATTATGTTTATTGTACTTCTATCTTTGGATAGAGCATTATTATTTATTGGCTCTTAGAAAATTGTACCGAGAAGAGACAAATAGTTTCGGTAAGATAATAGTAGTAAGATAGATGTTTTCCGCAATCAGCAAACATAACGCGAATATTATGCCCCTATTATTTTTTTTAATATTCGCTTCGTTGACGATTCGCGGTATACGAAGAATAGAAATTGTGACGATTGTGATTCAGACGATGGCGATGCGGCAATTTGCGCGATGTCGGAGACACGTGGTTAAAGACGGAAGGCAAAAGATGATGAGGCGAAAACACGAAGAAACTACAGCGCTTCGTAGTTGGCCAGTAAAAAATAAATTAGACTTAATCGAGCCTGGAGGCTGATACGGACGTGTCGCTTACTTACATCTTGGTTAATTGGTAGTGGATAGCGCTGCTGGCTCATAATCCGGCCGCGAATAGAAAAATGGTGGAGCCACAAGAGGAAGAAAAAGCGAGCGGAGAAAATTCGGAAGATTCGACAGATTCGGAGAAAATAGAAAATAAGAAGTTCGACAAGAGTCGTACGAAGAATCGAGAAGTACAGCGATAGAACTTGTGCACGAGCGCACAGTTGTGTAAATTTTTTTCAACATCTTGAAGTAAAAAAGTATGTGATGAAACAAGCAAATATTACACCTAGATGTATAGTGATGGACATCGGGCAGCCACCTTCCAATAGACTCATTTTTCAAGTATTTTCTAAGCATGCTAGATTTAATAAAAGTATAGTGGTGTGTGCGTGTATCGTGGATGGATATTAAGTAAAAACGACGAGGGAGGTAACAAAGGAGGAACAGAACAAAGATAAACCCTGCCATAATATTCTCTTTAGCAGTGTTCGAAAAAAACGTAGACTTTACAATTGCGAATTCTGCGGGGGAGAGGGAGACCGAGTGGAGAATGCGAAGATAAAAAGGGGTAAGCATTTGAAACTCGCGCTGTGGTGAACGCTAAATAAACATCTGAAGTATGAGCTGAAGTAAAAAAAAAAAACTAATGACAAACAAAGTGTGTTACTAAAATTAATTATCTACATCTAATTGATTTAAAGTACTGTAAAGTACTGCGGAAATAGTAATGTATTTAACTAATGTTTAAGAGAAGCGAGTGAACACACGGGCATTGGCACAAATTATTCCAAACGCGAATTGAAACTGTCATGGAGAGCCGCTGCTATCAATGAAGCGTAGCGAATATAATCCGATAAAAGGATGACAAACAGTAACAAACAATACATTGGATTATACTTATCACGGATTACTGATCATAACGATTATCGGATTATCGTAATAGTTACAACAATGACGACGATAAACAATGATGCTGATTATATTCGGATGTGTAACTATTATACTATTAGCATGACAAATCTTACGACTGGTCTCTAGTATCTCTTTACTCTTACGTTTGTCGCTTAGGTTTAAAGACTATGCCCCCGTCAACGGCTATGTCGATTTGTAAATAGATAATATTGATAATATCGTACGCGACGCCGTATACGTGTATATTGTGTGACGTTTATTGTATCCGTAGCTGCGGAAACAGGCAGACCGAATGCGAGAGTGGTACCATCTTCATCGTTTTTCGTACAAGCAAAGCAATCATCTCGCGTCGTCAGACCTCCGTTTCGATATATATATATATATACCTTGCTTTCTGAGGCGCGGACTTAAAACGCGGTTGTTTCGAAATCAGTTCGATTGTTAATCGCTGATGTCATTGTTTGCACACGCCACTGGCTTTAAGACTTGTCCGAGAGACTCGGATCGTATCGCGTCTTCCAAATTATCGTCAATCGTTCGCAACCTTTATCTGATCATTCTGAGCCTCGTTGTGGACGTAAATCGCCTTTACTTTCACACCTGTGTGTCGGTTACGTTTCTCCTTGGTGCAATCCCCCTCCCCGTGATGACCTGTTTGAATGAGCCCACTAATGGCACGCTGGACTACATTCCAACAATCATCATCAAAGAACAGTTCGCGAGATCACGCCGTTCTCGCGCCAAAAGCGCGCACGATCTCGCACTCGGGAGCTTTCGATCGCACAGCTTTTGGTGGTTCTCAACGTCCGGGAGCGTGATCTGTCAAACGACGTTTGCTTTCGCTACCTCTCACCTCGCGCAAGGGAAACGCACGAATCTGCGACGCGAACGGATCGAATGATAAACGGACAGATGCGAAGACATTTCAGTCTTTTCGAGAAAAAAAACGTATCGACTCTCCATCGGCATGCCGTCGTCGGAGTCCTGTAATAATGAAAACACACTGAAAACGAGAGAGAAAGAGAAATGCTGTGAGGGATCTCGCAATGAGCGATGACACAGAGAGAGAGAGAGAGAGAGAGAGAGAGAGAGAGAGAGAGAGAGAGAGAGAGAGAGGACCGCTGCGTGGAAAGAGTCGTCCTCGTTATCGTTATTTTCTTTTTTTTTTTTTGCATAGCAGCAGGCGGTAATTTACTTTGTCATCTTTTATTCGGCACCCGTGCATGAAGGCAAAAAAAAAAACGTCGAAACAGTTCTCTCCAGCGGGGCGACTTTGCATACCGCGATAAAGAAAAGAAATACACAATTCCAAGTACGTGCACGAGGAAGCGTACCCGAGGACGCATCTCAAGCGTTCACGCGATTTAATGTACATTCATTCATACATGTCATTCATTGTATTGTTATACTCGCGTGAGAAAACTGAGGAAAACTAAGTACACGCGCGCGCGCACACCCTCAGAGAGGAAGGTTTTTCCGCAACTATACTTATTGCTACCCGTTGAGCCGATACTGTTTTATATGATTGCCTATAGAAACGCATGTCACGAGCCGAGCATGAAAGAGGACAAATAGGATGAAAAATATTGTACAAAATTATTATTAATAATTGATATTAATAATAATTATTACTATCCAATAGTTTAATTAATTACTCGGTCGTCGTTATCGTGTTAGTCAGGTATTTACGAATATTATGATATAATTGTGGTTTCAGTTTTTGTACCTTATGTATAGGGAGAAAAGTGTGTGCAATCGATCGATATGACAATAGAAGAAATGAAATGAAAAAGAATCAGATGTATTCTACGCTTTCTTATTACAATATTAAATCTTATTACAATATTATTTATTTAAATTTAAAAAGAAATAAATTACTAATTCGCTCTGTTTGATCAGCCTCAAATTAGTCTAAATATTTCATTTCTGATAGTAAAATTTCTATACGCATTGATTTTTACTTATAATTTGTTAAAATCATATTTATAATAAAGTTAATAATATAAAATATTATAAATATTATCATAAATATATGATACAGCAATTAAAATACAGAATTAAAAATACAAATATTTTAAAATATTTATTTTATTTTAAAATATTTATAATTACATTGCATTTTAAAATAAAACCCTGAAGTATTTTATTTAAGTAAACATATGTGTTTAGGTTGTTTAACTATCAGTTAAAGCTCAAAATTGTCATAAGCTTAAATTCATTATATTGATCTGTATTTACATTTTTTTACATATGCAAATATTAATACGCATTTTTATAAAAAGAAAGTAATTTTTTTTTCTTCTTTTCAAAGCAATTTGGTATAGCGCTAAAAATGTAAGTCAATATAAATTAAATTCAAATAATGTGCATAATTTTATTATATGACTATTTAATCCAGTTTTATTAGAATATCATAAAATGCGAGATAGAATTAATTACATTTAAACCCAATATACAACTTATCTGGATTGAATTATGATTTTAAAAAATTGATTTTATTTTAAAAAAATCGGTAAAATGACTATCGTACGATAATTCATAATTTCGTTATTTTGTAATACATTTTATATGGGAAAAAAGTTCATACGGGTATATATTTTATTTTACATTTTTACAAGTAAGCTTCTTATCTGAAGTTGAAAAAGATCTGAAAGGATAGTTGGTCTAGCCTAGAATTTTAATTTACATCGATCGATCGCACACAATGATAAGCACAGGCAAACTAGCTTTTATCAATAAAACCGCGACAACATCCGATTCGTTCGCATGCGCCGCGGAAAGTGTTCCAGCAAAATTCGCGTGGTTGTTGCAAGGATTAATTTCCGCGAACTGCCTGCCCACCTGCCCTTGCAAACTGCGTTGCCTCCACAAATAATTTATTAATAACTTGCGATGTGTAATGAAACCAAGTTATTATAATTTGGCAGGATAAACAAACTAGTTTAATTGAAATTGCTAGTAATCTAAAAAGTTGAGGTCAGAATGAAAAACTCTAGTGTGTTTGTATGCGTGATGAATGTATACTGCATGCATACGTGAATGTTGTGAATACTCGAAATATTCACGATTCTTTTCAATTCTTTCTTTCGTTATTTGCCCAAATTGTTATCGCTTGATTTTTGAATTTTAACGAAGTATCGTATAAGTCGTGGTCCAGAAATAAATTTCGGTTTTCTCATGGATAATAGCTCAACAATTGCTCTGTAGAATACATTATTGTTTGATAATATGTAATAACATCTAATATTAGCTACAGGAATAAACATGAAAAGAAAAGATTTTCGTAGGAATTATTTTTTTTATACAACTGTCTGTGTGGACAAAAGGGTGCTGAAAACTGCACACGAGTTCAACATTCGATCACAAGTTAATTGTTCAATGCACAATTTAGCTGCATTGCAAATATTATGCAGTAGTGATAAAAGCCGTAATTATGTTTTAATGCATTAAGAATCATTTCATTTCGAAATGACTATTTTTTGAAGAAGAATAAAACAACCCTCAAAAACTTTCAAAATTTTTAACATTAAATACTATAATATATTATAAACTATATATGTATATATATTAAAGTCCAAGAAATTCTGAGATTAAAATATACTTGAAAAATTTACAATAATTTCGGAGACATGTACCTTAAATATTGACTTTATGATGATTTCCGTAAAATTGTACTTTGCTTAAAAATTCATGTATTTAAATTAAACTTCACTTAAATAATAGAAATCTCTTTTTCCTATTTTTAAATAAAATTTTGTTTTTTTTTACAAAGAACTAAAATTTTACAAATATCTAAGAATAATTAATTTGTTACTATTTTATAAATAGCCTGTATTACAAACATTTGTTTTTATATCGATCGAAGCAAGGAAACTATCATTTTCAAACAAAAATCAAATGGAATCTTATTATTTTAGCTTTTCTTTTAATAATAAAATATTAAAAGAAATTGAAATAAAAGATTGAAATTTATTTATAAGAAATATAAAAAGTAAGACTAAAATCAAAGTATATCCTTCACACATAGATCGAAAATACAATTTTTTATCTGCTTATGATAAAACACATTTTGATAGAGTCTCACATTTTTAATTTCTTATTGAAATAAATATATAGTAAAATATAATAAGTCATATATCCTGTGTCCAGTATTTGATAATTTACGTCATAGCAAATGGATTGCAGAAACATTATTAAAAAGTTTGAACAATAATACAATATTTGCTTCTTGAAATCGAATAATTTCTTCCTTACATTTTTTTATTTTATTAATAGCAATAGAGATATTTCTGTCAATCTAAAATAAATTCCGTAAATATGCTTTTAATTCTGTAAAAAATGAATAAAGAAGAAATTGATTGATGTGAAGGTACGAACATTATTATTTTTCTAGTTAAGCTCATTATATTATTTTTGTATTTTTAAGATTCATTAGCGTTTTCTAAATATTGAATTGTATGATTTTATTAACATAAGTAAAAATTCTAGTCATTCTGAGAGCTAAAATACTGACGTAACTTTATAAAAAGGTCAAGTTTAGGAAACATTTCGTATTTTATTTTGGCATATTTTAATGTAAAGTAGAAAATATTTCGTAAAATGTATTTATTTGTCGAAATCTATTTTTTATTATCACTACATTATATGCTGGTAAACCTTGTATTATAATTTTTATATATATACAATTTATACCTATTACTATTATTTAATATACGCAAAAGGTCAATAATTTCATTTACATCTGCGTTTAAGTTATTATTAACCTTAAAAATTTACTTTCCTGATGAAAATTAGATGAATTCTTTTGATTTGGAATTGCTTCGAATTTTGTTCTAATATTTTGAGAAATTGGTATTTTAGAAAATAATAATAATAATAATATACTAATTTCTTAGATTACTTTTCGGGACACTGTCCTACTTTCTAAATCTCGAAATTATGCTTTTACAGGATTATGAATCCATATGCAGAATCTGCTGGAAAATTTATGTATATTTCGCAAATGGAAGAAAATCTGAATTAATAAGTTTTATCCAGGGAATTTTTGTTCGAAATTGCTATTTATAATAATTAAAAACAATTGCCAAAATCAACTGTAAAGTTAGTTTTGCTAAAATTTAAAATAATTGATTGTAAAATTCTAGAGTTCTTAATCGTAAAAAAAAGCTATATTATTTAAAACTATACAAACAAAAGATGTTATTTGAAGAATCAGGGAGTTGACTTCGCGATATTTATATCAATTTTTCTCAGAGTCCTCGAGTAGTTTTATTACAGATATCTGGTACTACATTTTCACAAAAGAATTCTGTCTAATACATCTCCTCAAAATTACATTTAAAAATTGACATTCAATGTTTAAAAGATATTTCTCTCGCGACAGTCGCAATGTCACTCCCATGCCCAGGAACAATGTTTCTTTTTTTACCAAGAGATTTAAAAGAGGAGGAGAGATACGTGTACTTCGCACGGTATATATATATGTATGTGTCAATAGTAACCGCGACATGACATTCAAAGGCGTGTTGCGAGAGCTTCGGTATCGGATTTCAATCGATCGGTAGTCCGCGGTTGGGTCTGACATGCGATGGGCGGCATCAGGGTCGAAGTTCTTTACACCCTCCTTGGTATTTGCTGGCGTTCTTCTGGTAGCGAGGTACGTTCGGGGACTGAAACACATCCGTACTTTACCGTCTTAGTACGTACCGGGTGTACCGATCTTCGATCTGTCCTTCATCAAAGACATGCATCTGCAATTCAACACGTTGGCCAAGAAGCACGGCTCCATGTTCAACGTTCGCCTCGACACTCGGTTCATCATCGTTCTTAGTGATAGTCGCATCACACAAAACGTTTCGACGCGAGAGCTTCACCGGCAGACGTTGTGTTTATTAATATCCTCGACAATTACGACATCATCAGGGTGTTATGTATTTAAAACTGTTTAAAACCGTAGAACTGTGTAAAGTTTTCTTAGAACTCTAAAAAGAATTGCATTTTTAAATGGCGAAGTCAGCCTGTCGATTTTTCCAGCGGTTATCTTATAGCTTTGACAACAATAGAACCCTTTCTAAAATCAATATAGAATTCTAAGACATTGCTGAACTAGTCTTTTGTTTGAAAGAAATCTATTTTAAGTTTTTAGTTTAACTAACGAAATTTATTTTGATACGAAGTGTAATTTTTAGAATTATTTACTATAAGAAAAAAGCGAAATTTATTTCTGGATAATTTGATATAAAGATTTTGCTTAGAATCAATTGTTTGGTTAAATATGAGATAGTAATAGTACAACAGTTTTTTCAATTTTATATTTTAATTACTTATTTCTCAACCAGTGTATTAATTATGAATTAGCAGCATCGCATATATCGAATACTGGATTATTTATACATTATAATAAGTAATGAATAAAAAAACAGCCTTGACAGATTATTATAATATATGACATTGTTACAATATAGTTGTCATGCTATCAATTTTAATTGTGTTATTTCTCTGATATATTTTTCATAACATTCATACGAAATGATTGGAAGAAAACGTATAATTCTCTCCAGATATATTTGGATCGTGAATGACCCAATATTCGTTGAATGAATTAACACGTTGTCTGCCCATGTTGTCAGCGAATTTGATACGTCTTACCGTGTAAAATTTTCATTATTATGAGCATATATGATAAAATATTATATAATAAAGAGCTATACCTTTATAAATAATGAATCACGCACTTTTTGCTTTACGTTCACGTTGTCTATGTCATTAAAATTTTTACATTGAATAGCATTTTAA